TAAATAATAACAAGAAGAAAACAAAAAGTAAATAAATAATAGTTTTTCTTTTTTTTCGAAATAGCACTTACCTTGTAATCAATGTTGAATGTGGATGGATGGGCAATGAATGGTGGTCGTCCATAACTACCACAACCACCTGCAGCAGTATTGGTGTAGTGGTGTGCTGGGACAAAAACAAAAGCTTCCTCTGCTTGCATTAAATGGGAAATTCAAATAAATGAAATAAAACAAGAAACTCAAAAGGAAAAAAATGCATAATAAAAATGGAAAAATATGGGTGTGGGATAGAAACAAATCAATATTACTGTTCCCAAGGACCACCATCATTGTTGTAGGACACACACTTTCACTTTTACCTACCAACCTACTAGATAGGATATATGGAAAACGCTTTTTTAGCTCGTTGCAAAAAAACATGCCAGCTACCACTGAGATACCACCAGCTGTGTTCACTGATATCAAATTGTTAGCTTAAACTTCAAAGCGAGCACAGGGTGTATCCCGGTAGTAAAGACATTCATTTGAACTTTTTTTCTTTTTTTGTATTCACACACAATGTGTTGTTTCTTTGGATGCCTGGGGTGAAAAGCTTTTCACCTTTGGAAGAAAAGCTTTCGTTAAGTTTGTTGAAATCAAAAAGTTTATCTGTTTGTGTTGAGTTTAATTAGTCAAGACATTTACCAGTGGCTTCTGTGGTAATGATTTGCTGTATAGAAAAGCTTTTTGTGAGAGCTTTTCGTCATACATTGGGGAAATAGCTTTTTGGTTCGGTAATAAAGAACCACAATGTAAATAATTTTTACTAGTATTTTTTTTAAATGAATTAAAATTTTATTGTTATTTTATATTATTTATAATATTAAAAATATTAAAGATTAATAAAAGTTACTTATTAAGCGTTTTGTTTTATTACCTTATATAAAACTGCAAGCCTGAAGATGATGTTCTCAAAGAGATGGAGCATTGAATATGGGCAATCAAATGGACATTGTTTAGGTTTTTACTTTCTTGGATTGAATGCCAGGGAATTATAAAAAAGTTTCATCATTCATCAACAGATGAAGAAACAAAGTTTTTAAAAATTTGAATCTTAATTGAATCGGACCTATTTATAATGTGGATAAAATGTCCATATATAAGTATATTATACCTTCGAAAATCTTTATGCTAAATGAAACTTAAGGAACAGATGTGAATGAATATTTGGTTGACTGACCTCAGACTCAGATTTGAGATACCCATTTAGCATTTGCTAAATATAATCATTTTTATACCCTCCACCATACTATGGAGGGTATATTAATTTTGTCATTCCGTTTGTAACTCCTCGAAATACTCATGTCAGACCCAACAAGGTATATATATTCTTGATCAGTGTAAAATTCTAAGACGTTTTAGCCATGTCCGTCTGTCTGTCTGCCTGTTGTAATCACGCTATCTTTCGAGCAAATTGAGATAGAAGGCTAAATTTTTGCAGACATGTATATTTTGCCAGTAGGCAGGTTAAGTTCGTAAATGTTCCCGATATTCGGTATTTTGATGATTTTAGCGACGTTATTTAACAGAATCATTCCAAATTTGGTATTTGAAGTTCATAATACATACTGCAGCATAAAAGAGAAAATGGGTCATGTAGGTCTACGTCTTCGTATAGCCCCCATATACCGTACCCCCCGATATTCGGTATTTTGATGATTTTAGCGACATTATTTACCGGGATTGTTTCAAATTTCGCATGTGAAGTTCGTAATGGATACTTCAGCCCATGCCAGAAAATTTTCTGTGCAGGTTCACGTCTTCGTATAGCCCCCATATAACGGTACCCCCTATATTCGGTATTTTGATGATTTAAGCTACATTATAAATAGATTTTTCTTCAAGTTTCGCATTTAAATATTGTAAAAAAATTGCCTATGCAGGTCCACGTCGTCGTATAGGCATTCAGTATTTTTAAGATTTTAACAGAATTTTTAACGGATTTTTTTTTTTTGGAAATTGCCTAATTTGTACCGAATGGTGGAGGGTATTAAAAGTTCGGCCCGGCTTTTTTACTTGTTAAAACTAAATCTCTGGTAGTGAAAAGGTTAGGCTTTCTTCAAAAACAATTGAGATTTCAGAGCTTTTGTAGAGCTAGGTGTATTTGGTGTTCGATTGTTCAGTTGTGTCTTGTAGATCCATATCACTGAGCTCGGGAGGGTGAGGATGTACTCCCGTTCAACTCCCAACGATTACAAAATCGACTATACCCTACGCTTGAAATGCAAAAATATCCCATCTGAGGATTAAGCAAAACCTTGTGGCATGGTTATTATTTTTAAGAGGACGAACAACCTGTTTATGGAATAAATATGAAGGGGCATGCCCTCAAATCCTGATGATCTAATGAATGGGAGTTTAATGCTTTTAATCCATGAGCATGCCGGGAACTCGGAGGAATATGAAGCTAATGTCCCTTTTTTCTCCCCTTTTTCTTTTCTTCTCAACATTTTGAAATTTTTGAACGGAAAGGTATATTCTGACGGTATCTTGGGAATCAAATTTTTAGATATTATATAATCCACCACAAAAAAGAGGTTTTAGAGGTTTTCCAACCTAATCAGTTGTAATCCGACATTTCGGTTTCTCCATGGGTAGTTTAAATCCGAACTCAGTTATGCTACATTGAATTCGTGTTGAGAGGGAATCTCGTTCGAATTTGAGCCGGTTTACTCCTTAGAGCAGAAAAGATAAATTAAGTATATTCTATTTTCTCTTCGCCACTCTAAAAAGAGCTAGAATGCTATACTCGTTCTTCAGTGGGAGAAGAATTCGCTCGAAATCAAGGAGATCCTGTTCTTGCCGAGTAATAAGCACAATCATACGAAGTAACGGTCACTTTGTGATGAGCAATGTTGCCAAAATGTACTCATTGAATTCATTATTTGGTAATGAGATTATTTGCTTGGCAACCGAGAGTGAGTGCATGGTGTGACCGACTACCAATCAAATGATCGCCTATCAGGAAAACAACATATCAAAATTTAACTCGAATGTCGTAAAAATAGAACGATTGCATGTTTAACTCGTAAGTACTTGCTTAAAATAAGGATTTGGGATGCAGATAAGTAAAATGTACTTAACAAACCTATTATGACTTTGTTTTCTTGTTAACTTGATATTTTGGGCTATCAGTGGGTAGATTAACTCCACTCAAAAGTAATTCAATATGCATATAGCCTTCATATAGGGAAACTTTTAAATTTTAAGGATTAAGGGGATAGCTGATTCGACGACAAATCAATTTTCGATAACAAAGTACTTTACTGTTGTTTTTCTTTTCCTGACTTTTGTGCACGATCCTCAACCTTCCTCCCATGGGAACATAAATTTTTTTGCTACTAAATACGAGCACATGAATCAGGCAAGAAAATTTTAATATATCTCCTACCTCCTTCTGGGATATTTTTTACTCGTATTTAAAAACGTGCAAATAAGTACAAACTTCAAACTTTATAGCGACTTGATTGAAACCCGCGTCGCAGTGGCCGAAAATTGGCTCGTGAGCTGAACATATCGCAACATTCCATTCGGCAAGTATTGAAAAATGAGCTCGGGGTAAAGTCATTGTAATTCCAAAAAGTGCAAGAACTTACACCGTAACAATAAAAAATAGACTCAAAAGAGCTAAAGAGTTGCTTCGCTTGGTGTGGTGGTGAAGTGGTGAACTGCCGAATTTGATTATCTCCGATGAAAAAAAATCGTTGTGCAGCAGTTTGTAAACGAAAAAGATGATCGTGTTTGCTTGCCAAAGAGGTCAGCTGAAAATGTGCAACTTCGCTTGGCCACCAGAACTCAAGCGCCGGATATGGTAATGGTGTGGACCGCCATAACAGCCGATGGTCGCTCTCCGCTCGTATTAATCGACCGTGGCATCAGAACAAATGCCGAATATTATCGCGAGAATATTCTGGAGGGTGTATTAAAGCCTTGGGCACGCAAACATTTTGGTCGCAGACCTTGGATATTCCAATAGGATTACAAAATCAAGTTCCTCGCTTCATTTCCAGCGCACAAGGGCCACCAAAATCTCCGGATAGTAATCCGTTGGTCTATTGTGTCTGGAGTATTTTCAAAAGCATGGTAGACACTAAAAAATACCAAAGTGTCGATCACCTTAAGCAAGCGCTTTGCCAGGAATGGACCAAAATACCGCAAAGCAACATTCGGGCAGCGTGTGACGGTTTCATTGACCGTTTGAAGGCTATAAATCGTGCCAAAGGTGACCAATTCGGACAAATCTAAACTTATTCTAAAATTTGATGCTATTTCCGACATTTGTTGCTTTCATTCAATAAAATTAAGAAAAAAAAATGTAAAAATTATGACGTTTGACTTTGTTGCAGTTTTTTTTTTATCTCAGCCTGTATTTTCGATGAAAAATGCTTGATTGTACAAGGAGCTGAAGATGCTGCTCTTCTTCCAGGATCCGTAAGCAATTTTCGCACACATTTTAAAACATTACCATGATTTTCAAACTAATATCGTAATATTTTCCAGCATTGGCAAATGGGCTAAGGTAAATATTAGATTGCGGAGCCAATATTACCGATATGAGGTTCAGTTATTGGATGATTGCCCTTATAGTCATAGGTCGGATACAAATATTACATTGTTTGAAATGTCATACTGGGATACTCTCTACAATTTTCATGAGATTAATACCAGTTTTTCAATACTGGGGAGTTTTGTGGGAAATGTAGAAGAATGAATGGATAGATAGTTGTTTTAGAGAAGTATTTGAAAGCCCAAAGTTTGAAGAAAATCGGTAACTCATTACGCATTTGATGAGTGTAAAGATTATTCGAAATGTTTCTCCTTTTTGTGGGAGGTACCAGAGGAGTGGACCGATATTGATCCTTTTCCCGCTGAACCCAGGTCAAATGGAAATATAATAATACAAATATTCTCATCGCTTCCGTTTAGATATTAATTTTTTAAATTTTTCCTAATTTTACCATTTGTAGGGGTACCAGAAAGAGAAGAACTGGGCCAGTACTGCCCATCTCTGAACTTGATCGAAGTTTGTCAAAAATATAAGGATGATATAAGATTTATCGTGCGAAAACTGAGTTTTTAAAATAACAATAAAGATCAGTAGCCATACGGATGAGGTTATAATAACCAAAACCAAGCTGGACCGATTTTATCTGCCCAACAAAGATATGATTATTAAATTTCATTTATCCGTCCAAAAGGTAAACAATTATAGCGCTTAGATTATACAGAATCGCACATATATTTCTTGTTTGGAGGCAAACTTTTGCAGGAGATTTTTAGTACAGCACAATTACATTTTAAGCACATCTTAACACCGCTCGGCTTGTAGGATTTGAAATAATTTATATTCTTAATTTTTACACCCTCCACCATTCTATGCAGGGTATATTAATTTTGTCATTCCGTTTGTAACTATCCGAAATATTCATACAAAGTATATTCTGCATCAGCGTAAAATTCTAAGACGATCTAGCGATGTTCGCCTCTCTGTCTGTAATCACGCCATCTTTCGAACGAATTGAGATAGAAGCCTAAAATTTTGCATACATGCATAGTTTAACTGTAAGCAGGTTAACCTCGTAAATGGGCCATGTCGGTCCACGTTTTCGTATTTCGTCCCCATATAACGGTTCCTTCCGATATTCGGTATTTTCATGATTTTAGCAACGTTATTCTCCGGAATTATTTAAAATTTGAGTATTTTGAGTTCGTAATGGGTACTACAGCCTATTTTTGTATGCAGGTCCAAGTTTTCATATAGCCCCCCATATAACGGTACCTCCCAATATTCGGTATTTTGATGATTTTAGCGTCATTATTCACCGGAATTGTTTGAAATTACGTATTTAGAGTTCGTAATGGGAACTACAGTCTGTGACAGAAAATTTTATATGCAGGTCCAGGTCTTCGTATAGCCCCCACATAACTGTACCTCCCTATATTCAGTATTTTGATGATTTTAGCGTCATTATTCACCGGAATTGTTTCAAATTACGTATTTAGAGTTCGTAATGGGAACCACAGTCTGTGACAGAAAATTGTATATGCAGGTCCAGGTCTTCGTGTAAGCCCCACATACCAGTACCTCCTTATATTTGGTATTTTTACGAGTTTAGGTACAATACCCACCGAAATTGTTTGAGACGCGTATTTGAAGTTCGTAATAAATGCTACAGCCTTATTTCAAGTTTCAAATTTAAATATGATAATGACTAATGGCAAATGCCTATGTAGGTCCACGTCGTATAGACACCAATATAACGGCTATATTCGGTATTTTTAAATGTTAACAATTTTTTTTAAGGATTTTATCCCAAAATTCATTCTAAATGGTGGAGGGTATTCAAAGTTCGGCCCGGCCGAACTTACTGCTTTTTAACTTGTTTACTTGTTCAGTTTTGCTTTGTTAAGGCGAATCAAATATTTTTATGGTGGAGGGTATAAAACGTTTGACACATCCCAAATTAATTACGTTTTAACTTCTTTACCACGAGCCTTTTTATGGCATAGTATTTTTGTACGGATATATAAATACTATAAATATGCCTAAATACATACACTTATACGCTTCTATATGTAGTCACGTTTTTCACCAATTTTGGTTTTATTGTGTTCTTTTCAGGTAAAGAGGTTCCCTCCATCACATCAAAAATGGTCGACGAACGAAGTGTTCTTTTTTTTGCGCTTCACTTTGAGGATATTCGGTTTTATTTCGGTAAACTCAGTTAGTCACTCACTCACATAACACACAACACGTACTACAAAATACGCTCAATGCCATAGAAGAAGGGGCAACAAGTGGGCATGTGAGAAAAACTGATACTAAAGGAATAAAAACGAAGTCCAGCGAATGATGTGGCTAGGAGATGGAGATACAAATAAAACGGGCCATGGCAATAAAACAAAACGCTTTTCCAAATTTTTTTATGGTTTTTCTTTGCTTTGTTAAACATATGCTAAAATAAATGACCTTGAAATGTCTTACTTGTGTGTTTTTTTTTGTTTTAAATTAATTATGTAAATTATTTAAGGTTCTGGATATTAAATTTCAAAATAGTGTAGTTTTTGTTCTACCATCACCTTTTTTTGATGTTTTGGTGTCTTGAAAATGATGACGTGTTATTATACAAACATTTTCCAGTTTCGTTTTCTTTTTTCAAATATCGGTGGCACTTTAGTTTTATTTTTATATGGCGGCGAATTCTATTTATGTTTTCTGTTTTTTTATTTTTGTTACGAAAATAACTTGAACACTTTCCGTTTTTGGTAATTTGAAACTTTTTGTGTTTTGCACAACACCATCACCATTAAAAAAAATAATAATAAAAATAAAAAGAACAACAACACAATCACTTGAAAATCTATTTTAATTTACGGCATCAACACCTGTATGGTGCTGATGCCACAAAGGCTTTGTTCATCTGGATACGCTGTGGAGTTGATGAGCCAGCCAGGCAACCAGCGAGCGAGCGAGCCAGCCAGCCAGGCAGGCATAAGGACAACAAAACAACAGGATTTGTTTTTGTTCTGAAGGACGTTGGCAGGAAAAACACAGATATCACACACAGATATTCAAGAGCACATACACGTCCACTGATACACAGAAAGATAGGGACTCTGTGTATGTGTGTGTGCGTGTGGAAATGCCACCCACACACACTTGATTCAGATTGGAAAACGCAAAGAAAATTGATTTTCATCAGTATTGAAAAAGCTTTTAGGGGAATATTTTGAAAGCAGGAACTTTCTCTCTAAATTTAGGAGAGAGAGACAGAAAATAATGGAGAGTCAAAAGGAGAATGAAACTCTCTTTGTTTATTTCTCCCAAGAATTATTTTCAAATAGTTTTTAAAATTAGAAAAATAATATTTTTATAAATAATTAAAACAAAATTGTTGACAACTTACCCATTTGCTAGTCCTTAACTTCTTCTCTCTCGCTCACTCTCTCTCTCTCTCTCTCTCTTTAATTTTTGTTGAATTCTCCTTCCAAGAAAAAACTGCACATCTTTTATGTATCTGGACATGTTTTGCCATTTTCCTTGCCATCCTTCCATGCATTGTCCTGTACATTCGGGATACTTTCATTTGGGAGCAGCAACGAGATTTCACTTTCATTGCAATCGATTACAACCCTTGGGGCAAGGTAAAAAGCCCACAATCACCACCCATCCAATGACGTCCAGGTCAGATAAATAATTGTGAAGGAGTAGCGGGGAGGGGTGAGAGAGGAAGAGTAAAAGCATTTGGGGGATCCTCCCACCACAAAAAAATGGAATTTCAGGTTCAAGTGCAGTTGCGCAGTTGCCATGGCCAGATGGGCATTGCCCAACCAAACCCAGAGACGTTTGACATTAAAATGCATTGCTGCCCCAATCCCTCCTCACAGTGGAGCAGCCATTAGTGCAGCAGCAGCAGCTGTGGGGGTGGTGGTAAGGATACAGCTCGATTGAAAATTAACCTATATTGACACATACATATACAACGGCATATGTGTGTGGGTATGGGTGTGTAGGCTGATGTTGTTTTGCGTGTTGTTTTTCTTCAGCTTTGCTTTGGTTTGTTTAGAGCAGCAGTATTTCAACTAGTCGTCCTTAATGACTTGCTGTCGTCATTTCAAATCACACACAAACACACACACATATATATGGAGAATATATATATTTAGCTATGCATATATACCCAAAGCCAATATATGACACATTATATACCCATTCAGTTATGGCTATACGAGTGTGTGTGTGTATGTTTGTTACATGTTTGTTGATAGTTAGTTATTGAATTAGCAGCCATGTATTTTTTAATATCCGCCGTTATCGTTGCCGCCGCCACCGTCGTCATTTGTTGTTGTTTCAGCTCACTCAGCTATAATCGAATTTCCATTATTTTTTCCTACCAACGGCATGGTATGGTGTTGTTATTTTTGTTCTTTGTTTTGTGTTTTTTCTTCTTCTTTTTCTCCCATCAACTGCATTGCAAGAAATCGAGAATGAAAGAGAAAGAAAGAAAAAAAAGAAAATAATTAATATTTTTTTATTGAAATTATATTTACTTCGTGTAAAAGGTCGCCGTTTAATAACATTAAGTAATAAAGCAAAAGAGGAAATTAATTTTCAAACAAGTCGCGTGGAATTGCAAAAACAAAAAACACTCCATGGGTGGGTTGAGCAAAATGTCCGCGTTTTTAAGCTCTCGGCCTTACATGAGTAATAGATTATTTGATTTATTATTTGATTTGATACTGCCAAATGGCAGTTGATCTCGACAAGTCCGTCCGTCTGGCTGTCAGGCTGGTGTACTGGATAAATTTGTAAAGGGAGTACCCGATTCGGTCCAAACATTACACGGCGTCTTATTTTCAAACTAAGATTCACTATAAAGACACAATTTCTTTAAAAAAGGTCCCTGTTAAATTTGGTTAGGGTTATACATTTAGGACCCAAATTAAGTTTGGTCTGAGCACCAAAAACTTTTTTTTGGTTTTTATTATACCCTTCACTTTGTGAAGGAAGGTAAATATTCGCCGCAGACCCCATAAAGTACATACAAGGTGTGATGAAAAACCTGCAACCAACTTCAGACTGCTGCTGTCATTCCTAAGCCATTCGTCCGACAGCTGTTAAAATTATTCCAGTGACAGCTCATTATATTGTTTACAAGCGTACAAAAGCATTTTGGTGAGAATTTTCCAGAAAAAAAGTTATTCGTGATGGAAATCAAGTGTGATAGTGTGATTTCTCTATATTTGGCTGGAAAACCAGAAGTGGCTATCGTTAGAGCACTCCAGCATTTAAATGTGAATAAATCTTGTGTGTCTCGTACCATCGCTCGTTACTGTGATACTGGTAGCCTAGCCCGACGTCAAGGAGGTGGACGGAAGAAAATAGCAACATCAGCAGAAATGGTTCGAAAAGTAAAAAAGCGACTTGATCGAAACCCGAGTCGCAGTGGACGGAAAATGGCTCGTGAGCTGAACATATTTGCAAATATTGAAAAATGAGCTCGGGGTAGAAATTTCCCAAAAAGTGCAAGAACTTATACCGCAACAAAATGAAAATAGACTCAAAAGAGCTAAAGAGTTGCTTCGCTTGGCCAAAAGTGGTAAACTGCCGAATTTGGTTTTCTCCGATGACAAAACATTCGTTGTTCAGCAGTTTGTAAACAAACAAAATGATCGAGTTTACTTGACAAAGAGGTCAGCTGAAAATGTGCACCTCCTGTTGGCCACCAGAACTCAAGCGTCGGTCATGCTGATGGTGTGGGTCGCCATATCAGCCGATGTTCGCTCTCCGTTCCTATTAATTGACCGTAGCATCAGAATAAGTGCCGAATATTATCGCGAAAATTTTCTGGTAAGTGTATTAAAGCCTTGGGCACACAAACATTTTGGCCGCAGAGCTTGGACATTCCAACAGGACTCAGCACGCGTCACCCAAGAATGGTTAAAAAATGAGGTTCCTCGCTTCATTTCCAGTGCACAATGGCCACCAAAATCTCCGGATACCAATCCGTTGGACTATTGTGTCTGGAGTATTTTGGAAAGCAAGGTTGGCATTAAAAAATATCAAAGTGTCGATCACCTCAAGCAAGCGCTTACCCGGGAAGGGTCCGAAATACCGCAGGGGAACATTCGGGCATAGTGTGACGGTCTCATTGGCCAAACGTGATCAGTTCGAACAAATCTAAACTTATTCTAAAATTTGATGCTATTTCCGACATTTTTTGTCTTCAATCAAAAAAATGAAAAAAAAAAAAAAAAAAATGTAAAAATTATGGCGTTTGGCTTTGTTGCAGTTTTTTATATCACCCTGTATAGTTTTCAGCCATAGTTCGATTATTAAAATATATTTTTTTGATATTGGTTACTCCCTTCACTTTATGTGAGATATGTGAGAATTTTTAGAAAATGTTAAAATGTGCGTGAGGTGAAATTAGAGCACAATATCTGATGTCAAGGCCGGATTGAAAGGACCATTCCTTCTGGTACCTCTCCAACAATGGGTCAATATTTGGAATAACCATGACATAACAATTAAAAAAACAGTAAGTTCAGATTTTTAAAATCCATTAAAAATTCTTTAAAATCTTAAAAATATCGGAAGGTGCAGACATATGGGGGATATATGATATTTTGAATCTACATAGACAACTCTCCTTCAGGGAGTAAAATACTAACAAAGAACTCCTTGTGTGGAATATCAGATAATTCCATTAAAAAATGTAGATAAAATCGTCAAAATACCGAATATCGGAGGGTACCGTTATATGGGGAATTTTGATATCGTGGAATTATATGTATAATTCTCTTCCAGGAGATAAAGTACTCACAAGGAACTCCTTGTATATATTTTCAGATCTAAATATATATTTTCAGATCTAAATATATATTTTCAGATCTAAAATTACTATTTCGATGAGTTACAAACGGAATGACTTACTTTATATACCCTCCATACTATGTATGGTGGAGGGTATATAAATAAGCATCAGATTCTTTTCAAACCTGGCACATCCTAATCTCCCTGCCAACACAAGATCTAATAACTCCCCCCACAAAGGGTTAAACTTTTGAGTAATTATGATTTCCATTTTACCAACACAAAATCTGGTATGAACTTGAAATATATCGAACAACTCCTTTTGGGACCTCCAACACAACGGGTTAAAATGTTGAATAATTATATATCTCATAAACTGTGAATTAAGCTCCCGATTTCCGATTCTCTTTAAATTTCACATATCCTACCTCTACTGGAATCACTTCCACAATGGGTCACACTTGTCAGTTTTTATATATCTCATCACTTGGGAAACAATTCTGCAATTCTTTCTGAAACTATATATATCGAAAGATTTTCGATTCAGGTCCACTAAAATTAAAATTGATGTAGGGTCAGGTTTTGGTATAGCTTCCGAATAATGGCAACGTCTACTTTGTAATATTTTGAAGACAGTATCGCTGGAATCTGCAGCTTAAAATTAAACTTGTTTAAATATAAAATCAAAGGGTTTCTACCTCATGTTGGATGGTATAAAAAGTTCGGTCCAGCTGATCTAGACGCTTTTTTACTTCTTTGTTAACTCACAACGTATTTGCATGATTTTTGGTAGCTTGGGTATTATTGTGTGAAAACCCCCAATAACGTTTGGCATGTTTCTATAAAAAAAAAAGCCAGTAAAGAAAGTCTTAAAGTCGGGCCAGTCCGACTTTATGATACCCTACACCACTTTGCTAATTTAGTAGAGCTCCGCATAACAATTAAAAGTTTTTATGGGAGAATTAAATCATACACGCTATGATTATAATTATAATTTAAAGTTCAAAGGACTAAATATGCCGAAGCAAATGTATCTTTTAAATTCGGACTTGTATTGCCCATTTGGCGCACAATTAATTTGAAATCGGATAAAAATATATATGGGAGCTATATCCAAATCGGAACTGATCTCGATAAAAATTTTCAAAGATATCTCTGAGCTGTATTTGAAATATTTCCGTGAATTTCGTTGTTACGGAGTGCATATTACGGCTGTGGGTAACAAATACAACAAATCGGATAAACAGTATATATAGGAGCTATAGCTATATCTGAACCGATCTTCACCAAATTTGACATACTTGCTTCTAGACTCAATTCGGTCGTAAGTGCCAAATTTGATCCAATTCGGGCAGATATTAGACGTTTGGTGCACAATCAAAGGTAAATCGGACGAAGTTATATATGGGAGCTATATCCAAATCTGAACCGATCTCGATAAAATTTAGCAAAGGTATTTTTGAGCTGTATTTGATATATTTCCCCAAATATTGTTGTTACAGAGTGCATATTACGGCTGCGGAGGACAAAAATAACAAATCGGATGAACAATATATATGGGAGCTATAGCTATATCTGAACCGATTTCGATCAAATTTGGCATACTTATTTTCAGGTCCAATTTGATCGTATGTGCAAAATTCCATACTATTCGGACTGATATTACACGTTTGGTGCACAATAAAAAGCAAATCGGACGAAGATATATATGGGAGCTATATATAAATTTTGACCGATTATCTCCAATTTCAATAGGGTTCGTCCTTGCGCCAAACAAATGATTTGTGGAAAATTTCATCTCAATCGGATAGTAAATGCGAACTGTTCTTTGCTTACAAAAATACATGGACAGACGGACGGACGGACATGCATAAATGGACTCAGAATGTGATTCTATGCAGATCATCAAAAGGAACTATGGGTCTATCTCGTTTCCTTTTACCTGTTACAAACAAATGCACAAAGACATAATACCCTGACCACCTTGTGCTGTAGGGTATAAATATTAATCATGGTGGATCTAACAGAAAGAATGATGATGGATAGGTTGGTTTAAATGTGTTTGATACCTACTTTTCATACCCACCCATGTATATTCGACATTTTCGACACTTACACGTTTTTTGTGCCCATGATAAGAAACCAAAACACTCACAAAAGATACGATAAATTATCCATTCCCGATATGAACGACACAAAACAGGCGGAAGAACTTTCTCACTAGGTAAGTAAAGTTGTTTACATCTCTCAGCACTGCGAACTGGGAACTCTTTTGAGAGAGTATCTTCCACCGAGAGTTCTTTACCAAAAGTGAGTACCTACCTACCTCCAAAAGATAAAATTCATTGTGGTCTTTTTTATTTCATTTTGTAGATAGCCGCTCTCGCCAGGTTTCGTATTCGTTGTGGCTTTTTTAGTTGTTGGCTGGAACCAACAACAACAACAGCAGCAGCAACAAAACAAAGCTAACATTATATCAGTGGCAACCACAATTGTTGCTGTCGCCAATGACTGCGCCGCCAGTCAGTAGCTGCGGCGTTAGCAGCAAAAGTTGGCAATAAAAAAAACTACGAACTGAAAAAAGTGAGTTTGTATCTACAACAGAACAGCACACTCATACACACGCACACTCACACACTGACTCACTCACTCACTCGCATGCCAACTGAAAACTTAACCTTGAACTTGAAATACATTCGGTTTTGTGTATCGCGTGTGGCTGTGTAGTTATTGTTGTTATTCGTTTCTTGTTCTCTCTCGTTTTCTCTGTTGTGTTGTGCTGTGTTTGTTTTTTTTTTGCTTCACAGATGGATGCGTTGTTGACTACAAAAAAATAGGGTGCTGGGAGGGAGGGAAAGAGGTAGGGCCTGTGGTAGTTGTGTGCAAGACCCATAAAGCGGTGTGCAATTGTTGTATGGAGATAGGTCGGTCGGTCGGTCGGTATTTAGGTAGCTATATACCAGTGTTTGTGAATAATTTTCATACTCTGCACATTGTAGATATTTGCCGCCGCATTTGCTTGTAGCTACCCTACTTCGTTCTCAATTCAATTGTTTGAATTTGCTCTTTGCTTCATATTCGTTTATTTTGTGTGCATTATTTTCTTTGTTTATTTTCACTTTTTCTACTCAGTCGCTCTCTCCCTCTCAGAATCTACATTAATGGAATATACCAGGTGACAGTGGGGGACCCAACCGACCGCGTTAGGCATTATATTCTTTTGAGAGTGTTTTTTTTTTCGATTTACTGCACCAAACAATTTCAAATAAAATATAGGTTTGAAATATTTTGTCGATGACTCGTTAGTTAATTATTTTATATTTTTTTTTTGCAAAAATTCTGAGAGGGAGAGAGAGAGTGCGCGCACAAAATTATCAAAGAACAATAACTCAGGAAGTTATTATGAAATCGGGGTATCTATCAAATTTGTTATTGGGATGGCTCGTTTTGAAATCTTAAAAATTTTGTCGGAATGATTAACCCGTAATTTTAAAGGAAAAGGGCAGTAAAAAATTCCCTGATTGAATTGGGTCCAATTAATTGTTGGAGGAAAATATGCCTTTGTAAATAGCAACACCATTTCCAAAATTGTCGTAAGGAATTAGTCCAATTATCTAATTAAGCCGAATTCTGATTTAAGAAACAAAAAAAAAAAAAAAAAAAAAAACAGCTAAGTTCGGCTGGGCCGAAATTTTTTTAACCTCCACCACCCTCAAAAAATTACGTCGAAACAAATACGGATGTTGTAAAGTTTCCAAACTTCAGATACGAAATTCGAAACAATTCCGATGAGTAATGTCGCTAATATCATCAAAATACCAAATAAAGGGAGATACCGTTGTATGGAGGCTATACTGCGACGTGGACCTGAATAGCTATTTTCCGTCATATGTTGTAATACCCATTACTAACATCAAATAAGAAATTTAATGCAATTCCGGTGAATAATGTCGCGAAAATCCTGGAAATACATATCTATACATTCTAGGACTACATCCTGTTCCAGGGTGTAAAGTTCTCAGAGGGAACTCCTTGTATGGATTTTCAGACTTTTCCATTGAAAATGAAAAGAAAATCGTCAATTTACCGAATATCGGGGGCTATACGATATCGTGGACGTTCTCATTCAGGGGGTAAAGTACTCAAAGAGAACTCATTGTGTAGAATTTCAGACAATGCCATTGAAAACCGTCGAAATAAGGGATGTCGGGAGGTACACTTATAGGATATCGTGGACCTATATAGACAATTATTTTTCAGGGGGTAAAGTACTCAGAGGGAACTCCTTGTTTGAATTTTAAGCCAATTCCATTAAAAAGTGTGGTTCAAATCGTAAAAATACCCAATATGGAGGGGGCACCATTTTATGGGGGCTATACGATATCGTGGACATAGACAATTCTCATTCAGGGGGTAAAGTACTCCCAGAAAACTCCTTGTGTAGAATTTCAGACAATTCTACTAAAAAATGTGGCTAAAATAATCAAAATACCGAATATCGGGAGGTACAGTCATATATGGGGGATATACGATATGGTGCACTTTTCATGGGGTAAATTAGTCATGTGAATCGATATAGCCCGTCTTCCAACTTTTATTGCCTGCAGACAAAAGGCAGATCGGTGAAAAATGTTAGCTTCCTATCTTTATTCGTTTTGACTCTAGCGTGATTACAACAGACGGACGGTCCGATGGACAAATTTTTTTTACGCTGATCAAGAATATGGGTCTAATATGATTATTTCGATGAGTTACAAACGGAATGGCGAATTTAATATACCCACCATACTATATACAGGGAGAGATGAAAAAATTGCAACCAATTTTAGACTGCTGTCATTTCTAAGCCACTCGTCGGACAGCTGTTAAAATTATTCCAGTGACAGCTCATTATATTTTTTACGTGCGTACAAAAGCATTTTTGTGAGAATTTTCCAGAAAAAAAAAAGTTATTCGTGATGGAATTCAAGCGTGATAGTGTATTTTCTTTATATTTGGCTGGAAAACCACAAGTGACTATCGTTAGAGCACTCCACCATTGAAATGTGAATAAATCTTTTGTGTCTCGTACCATCGCTCGTTACCGTGACACTGGTAGCGTAGCCCAACGTTAAGGAAGTGCACGGAAGAAAACAGAAACATTAGCAGAAATGGTTCGAAAAGTAAAGAAGCGTCTTGATCGAAACCCGCCCCGCAGTGGCCGAAAAGTAGCTCGTGAGCTAAACATATCGCAATAATCCATTCGACAAAAATTTAAAAATTAGTTCGGGATAAAGCCATTGAAATTCCAAAAAGTGCAAGAACTTACACCGCAACAGAAAGAAAATAGACTCAAAAGAGCTAAATATTGGTTTTCTCTGAAGAGAAAACATTCGTGGTCCCGCAGTTTGTAAACAAACAAAATAATCTTGTTTACTTGCCATAGAGGTCAGCTGAAAATGTGCACCTTCGGTTGGCTACCAGAACTCAAGCGCCGGTTATGGTAATGGTGTGGACCGCCATTACAGCCCATGGTGCCTCTCCGATCGTATTAGTCGCGAAAATATTCTGGAGGTTGTATTAAAGCCTTGGGCACGGAAACATTTTGGCCTCAGACCTTGGACATTCCAATAGGACTCAACACCATCGCACTCAGAACGCGCCACCCAAGAATGGTTACAAAATGAGGTTCATCGCTTCATTTCCAGCGCACAATGACCACCAAAATCTCCGAGTATCAATCCCTTGGACTATTGTGTCTGGACTATTTTGGAAAGCAACTTTGGCACTAAAATATACCAAAGTGTCGATCACTTCAAGCAAGCGCTTCGCCGGGAATGAACCAAAATACCGTAGAGCAACATTTGAGCAGCGTGTGACGGTTTAATTGGCCGTTTGAAGGCCATAATTCATGCCAAAGGTGACCAATTCAAAGAAATCTAAACTTATTCTAAAATTTGATGCTATTTCCGATATTTTTGCTTTCATTCAATAAAATTAAAAACAAAAAATGTAAAAATTATGGCGTTTGACTTTGTTGACGTTTTTTTTTATCTCACCCTGTATATACTGGCGTAAGTTATCAATTGGCAATTAAGGTGTATTTTTTTTTAATTTTATATAAATAAGTAAAAATATATATTTTATATATTTACCATAATTTTGTACAGTCATCAAGCATCAATCAACTGGATCTCTGGGTATACTGAAAGAAGAAAAATAAAAAAATATTATAATTTTTAAATCATAAATTTAGAAATAAATTATTTGTTAGGTAAATTTGTATTTAAATATTTTACAAAATTAAACTAAAATATGAAGTAATGAGATTTCTTAAATAATTTTATTAGAGCAAATTATCTCTAAACAACGCAAAGACTAATATTTACACCATTTGGAAGGAACTTGAAAATTTCCAAAAAAAAAGTCCGAGAACTACCACTTAAAGGAAAACCGTTATATGGAAACTATACGAAGACGTGGACCTAATTACGAAATTTTTTGTCATAGGCTGAAGTTACCATAACGAACTATAAAAACGAAAACTGTTACAATTCCTGTGAATAATGTCGCAAAAATCATGAAAATACCGAATATTGGGAGGTACTGTCATATGGGGGCTATACGAAGACGTGGACCTGCACAGACAATTTTCTGTCATAGGCTTTAGTATCCATTACGAATTTCAAACACCAAATTTTAAACAATTCCTGTGAATAATGTCGCTAAAACCATCAAAATACCGAATATCTGGAGGTTCCGTTATATGGAGGCTATACGAAAACGTTGACCTGTACAGACAATTTTTTTGTCTTAGGCTGTAGCATCCCTTACGAAGTTCAAATATCAAATTTGAAATAATTCTGGTGAATAATGTCGCTAAAATCATCAAAATACCGAATATCGGGAGGTACCGTTATATGGGGGCTATACGATGACGACAGACAATTTTCTGTCTTAGGTTGTAGCATCCATTTCGAACTTCAAATACCAAATTTAAAACAATTCCGATGAAAAATTTTTTGCCATATCTTGTAGTACCCATTAAGATCTTACAACACGAAATTTGAAGCGATTCCGGTGAATAATGTCGCTAAAATCATCAAAATACAAAATATCGGGAGGTACAGTTATAAGGGGGCTATACGAATACCTGCGAGACAATTTTCTGTCATAGGCTGTAGTATTAATTTCAAACTTCAAATATCAAATTTGAAGCAATTCCGGTGAATAATGTCGCTAAAATCATAAAAATACCGAATATCGGTATGTACCGTTATATGGGGGCTATACGAAGACGTGGACCTGCACAGACAATTTTCTGTCTTAGGTTGTACCAATCATTTCGTACTTCAAATACCAAATTTTAAACAATTCCGATGAATATTGTCGCAAAAATCATCAAAGTACCGAATATCGGGAGGTATCGTTATATGGGGGCTATACCAAAACGTAGACATACATGGCCAATTTTCAATGCCAAAAGTCCTGCAGACATAATATACATTTGAGTAAAATTTTATCAATCTACCTTAATTGTTCGGAAGCTAGAGAGATTTCCACAGACGGACGGACATCGCTAAATCGACATAGAATTTAATGCTGATCAAGAATATATAGACTTTGTGGGGTATAAAATGTATATTTCGAAATGCTACAAGCGGAATGACAAACTTAATATACCCTCCATACTATGGTGAAGGGTATAAAAATATATATATTATTTTTGTTGTCAAATTTATTTTTCTATTTTTGTGTTAATTTCCTTTTTAGCAACATTTTTATGTTACGTCCCAATCGGTCATCAATGAATGACAGTGGCAGCAACGCCGACAAAAAGTCTTCGAAAAATATAAATTAAATTGAGAAATAAAAAATCAACCAAAAACGACTAGAGATGACAAATTGGCATATAAAACCATTAAAAAAACCCAAAAAGCAGAGAACATAAAAAGACAAAAACAAAACATACTCTTACGTATGAATTACGATTGACTCAGTGACTTTGGTTCGCTGGTTGGCTGTTCGATGATTGCTTGTTTGTTTGTCATTCATTGTTAACTGGCAGACATTGCGACTGTAAACAATGGGGAAAAAATAATAATTTATTTCTATTTTGCTGCTATTCTTAATTACTATTCTATTGATTATTATGATGTTGCTGTTTCCTTTTTCGAATTTGGTTTTTTGGAAATTTTAAAGATCGTAAAATGACGAAATAAAACAATGAACATTAAGAGAGAATTAAATTGTTATTATTAATTTTTCAAGTAGTTTTTTATTTATTTTTTGAGATTGTGAAATAGAACTTATACAAAACGTAGTCTCCATGTATGTAAGTGAGTGTAATTCATTTTTTCCTCTTCTTTCTGCCAATCAATGATTGCAGTCATCTTTATCATCATCGCCATTGTCGCTATCAGTTTTTGTATTTCTTCTGTTCACATCATCTTTTCACACACCCACACGTTTGTGGTGTAGATGTTTGCTTTACATTTGCGTTACGTAAACGGAATATTGGCTGTACGTACCTACGTTGTGGCATATTTGAAAATTTGTCAATTAATATTTGCAATAATTGTTATTATCATTAGCGTAAATGTTATTGCATTTTTACACACCTATACACATTGAGAGTTATGACAAATAATTTACTTCCTTTGTTTAAATGTATAAAAAGGTGGGTGGTAGAAAAATTGATATTGTCACGATATCTCTGGGATTTCGGGAGAGAGTAGAAGAAATTGTCCTTTAAGGAATCAGCTTGTGTTTTCGACAACTATATTCCCTTAAGCAATGACTCTGGTATGATACTTTTGGGGGAATATATCAAGTAGTTTGACTTTGTAGTTAATATACATTTGATAATAACACTGTTATATTGGTAGTTGAGATCAAGTTGCAGAGTTTTTGGGCTATTTTGAGATCTACCATAAAAATAATAACAGAGACAAATGGGAAAATCAATCCGCTTTTTTAAATACGTGCTGGTTGTATTCGAAATTAATTGAATTTTCGTAAAAGTCTATCTTTTTTGTTAAGGCGGTTGTCAGATATAGAAGATAATATAATTCTCATTTATCCGAATATTTTAATTACTTTTGAGCCAACTTTTAAACTACTGCTACGGACTTATAAGCAAACTTTATCCCAGAAACCCTTGCATTGCTAATATTTTAAATATTGTCCTTGTTTTGCCTGCATAGGGGTTATAAGGGTATACAGGGTGAGATCAAAAAAACTGCAGCAAAGTCTTAAATTTCATTGACTGAAATCAAAAATGTTGGAAATATCATCAAATTTCAGAATAAGTTTAGATTTGTTCGGATTTTTCACTTTTGACACAAATTATGGCCTTCAAACGGCCAATGAAACCGTCACACGCCCGTAATTTTGCTCTCCGTAATTTTGGTCCATTCCCGGCGAAGCGCTTGCTAGAAGTGATCAACACTTTGGTATTTTTTAGTGCAAACCTTGCTTTCTAAAATACTCTAGACAAAATAGTGCAACGTATTGGTATCCGGAGATTTTAGTGGTCATTGTGAGCTGGAAATGGAGCGAGGAACCTCATTTTGTAACCATTCTTGGGTGGCGCCTGCTGAGTGCGATCGATGGTGCTGAGTCTGTTGGTCTGCGGCCAAAATGTTTGCGTGCCCAAGGCTTTAATACGCCCTCCAGAATATTTTCGATATAATATTGGGCATTTATTTTGATGCCACAGTCGATTAATACTAGCGGAGAGCGACCATCGGCTGTTATGGCTGTCCACACCATCATCATAGCCGGCGCTTGAGTTATGGTGGCCAACCGAAGGTGCACATTTTCAGCTAACCTCTTTGGCAAGTAAAAACAATCTTTTTATTTATTTACAAACTGCTGGACAACGAATGTTTTCTCATTGGAGAAAACCAAATTCGACAGTTCACCGTCTTCTTGAAAGCGAAGCAACTCTTAAGCTCTTTTGAGTCTAATTTCTTTCTGTTGCGATGTAAGTTTTTTACACTTTTTGGAATTTCAATGGCTTTACCCCGAGCTCATTTTTCAAAATTTGCCGAATGGAATATTGCAATATGTTCAGCTCACGAGCCATTGTTCGGACACCGCGACGGGGGTTTCGATCTGGTCGCTTCTTTACTTTTCGAACCATTTCTGCTGACGTTGCTGTTTTGTTCCGTCCACTTCCTTGACGTCGGGCTACACTACCAGTATCACGGTAACGAGCGATGGTACGAGACACAAAAGATTTATTTCCATTTAAATGCTGGAGTGCTCTAACGATAGCCACTTGTGGTTTTCCAGCCAAATATAAAGAATTCACACTATCACGCTTAAATTCCATCACGAATATTTTTTTTTATTTTCTCACCAAAATGCTTTAGTACGCTTGTAAACAATATAATGAGCTGTCACTGGAATAATTTTAACAGTTGTCAGGCGAGTGACTTAGAATTGACAGCAGTCTGAAGTTGGTTGCAGTTTTTTTATCTCACCCAGATATCATTTGATACGACCAAAAGGTACTTCATCGATATAACGGTTTTTGGCCCCAGGTATGTTTGGGCCAAATCCAAGAACTATAAATATGGGTCCATGCTCTTTATTCAGTGGATATACAGCTAAAGAGCTAAAAAAAAACAATTAATAAAATTTTCAAATGTGCAATCGAAGAATTCTGGCTTCCGTAAATATATGGAATTTGTGGCGTATGATTATTGTCAATGATTATACGCCACCGTGTAAAATACACCACAATAACAATTACTATACCATCAGCCATATGACTACAGAGGGTATATATCATTTGATATGGCCAAAACGTGCCTCACCGAAATAACGGTTTTAGTCCCTAGGACACTTTGGACAAAATCCGTTTCAGTACATTAGTACTCTATACCCCGTCCGTTTGTCTCTCTGGCTGGTGCGCAAGATAACTCTCGAAGTGAGTTTCCGATTTCGTCCAAACTTGGTACATCGTAATATTATTGTCAAAATTATATCGGGTTCGGCGATGGACAAGATCGGTCCACTCCTTCTACTTTTGTGCCCAATATTGTTGTTAGAGCTAGGTCAGTTGCGAAAATTGACAGTATCGGCCATTCCTTCTGGTACCTCCCCCGCAACGGGTCAGAATTTTGAACAGCCTTAAATTCTTAAAACGCGAAATCAGCATCCGGCACCTTTTAGACTCGGCACATCCCAATACAT